TAATTTTATATATGAATTTCATATTCAGTAATTAGTATATAAGTGTCCGAGTTCTTCTGGGGGCAGTGTGCGATTGGGTAAGTGAATTAGTTGTTCTCAATGTTGATTCACAACGGGAATATGTGAAGAGTTAGAAACTTCCTGTCAATGATTGAAGCTCAACTTTGAGGTTAGATTTACCTTCCACAACTCTGAGAAAAATTCATACTGAAATTTATAGTATCTCCTTCAGCACACTTATTCCATGTATGTAAGTCTACTAATTGACTGCAAGCTCAGAAGTATAGGAAAAGGTGAAATTATTAAGGTTCTTCTATATAGATACACCCAGAGGCGTAGAGAGAACCGTCTATGATAAGAGATGATTTTTTTTTTTTAAATTGTCGATTTGCCTCGTCTATTTTGCGATGGCATGAAGATTTTACAAATAAATAAATATATGTTATTGCGTTCATCAATATTCAGATTTCAGAATGAACTTAAATTTCCCTCCTCTATTGAGTCTTCATTACAGAGCCAATAGATATAAAGTAAACTAACGCAACTATTGCAAAATTTCTTTAGCAAATGTCAGGAATCACATTATTCTCACGTAATGATCTGACCTAACTGCTAAGTTCTAAGTAGTCAATAGAATTCGATTATAACGACGCTGAAGAAATCGTCGCTATAGCCGGAAGACGCTATACCAGATTTTTCGTCCGTACGGACGCTAAAGGCGAGTCGTTATAACCAAACTCTACTGCAGTTTATTTTGTTCATCGATGTTTTCCTCTTCTACATAATCATTAATGTACGACTACATTATAAAACCATAAACTAATATTTAAATAGAAAAGATTAATTTGTAATAATAATTTGAAGCTATACCCGTTATTTCTAGTCTTTCTACGACTTTTCACAGTAAATTCTAATATCAGAAGAGAGTGAAATAAATACAAATAAAAAGCTGTAGCATTTTCTAATTCCTGTTAGCTATTCCAAATGCTAATATACCTAAACAAAATCTCCACATTAGCAGCTTCCTCTGCCTTTTATAGCCCTCACACACACACACACACACTACTCTCTCTCTCTCTCTCCCTCTAAATATAAAATCCCTCAGATAGCAATTCACGCTGAGCTGAGCTGAGCTGCAGGCATTGCCAAAATAGAGCTCATATAATCTATGATTTATGGTCGGCTCGTTTGTGGCTGGCTCCAATTAGGCCGCTCGTTTAGGGAGCCACCGAAATAGAAACAAATAAAGCGGAGTAAACAACACGCACTCATGACATTAGGAGCTCCTGCTCAAAGGTTAAAGCAGCTATAAAATGATAAACTAAAATGGCTCAAGAAACGACAGAGGCGCACGTGAAAATCACATCAATTGTCTAGTAAAAAATCCAGTTGAGGGCAAGCCAAGGCGAAGGCGAAGGCTCTCCCTCTCTTTCTCCCTCTCTCTCTCCCTCTCTCTCTCTCTCTTGTTCTGTCAATTGAAAATAAAAAGTTATAACCGTCTTTTACTATTTGCACGTTGGCCTTTTTTTCTCCTTTTCACCTCTAAGGAAGCTTTGTATATAGAGAGATAACCGTTGTATCTGTGGCATGTGTATTTATTCGATATTTCGCGCTTTATTTCAGGTAATCACGCAATCGGCACCGTGCGAAAGTTTCCAACGCTTCCGATGAATGGCGCCGGAGCAGGAGTTGGCGGCGTCGGCGGCTGCGGCGGTGTTGGTGGTGGCAACTCTGTTGGCGTTGGCTGTGGCGCTGGTGGCAATTCAGGTGGCTCCAGTGGCCTCTGGATCGATCCCAGCGGCGGCGTTTGGCGACAGGCGGGCTCCGGCTCCACGACAAAGGACCAACTTCCGGGCTATGCCCAGGCCACAGCGCAACAAGGCGGACAGCCGAGACAACAACAAGGACAATCAAATACCCAACAGCCGCTGCCTGACTATGAGAGGTGAGATTGATTTGAAGCTGCTCTGGGAAAAAAGGGTTGCTGAAGCGGGGGTGCGGGGGGTAAGGGTTGTGGAACTTGTCGGCTGGTTTATCAGTCGTTGCCTTAATATCCTGTCTACGCTTCGCTGCTTGTTTAATTACGAAAAATTGCAGAGAGCAGTCGAAAAAGCAAGCCAAATGCTTAAATGTTTTACTACCACGGGTGAGAGGGTAGAGGGTGGTGACGGCTGCCGGGGCAGCAGGGGGTTGGGTTAAACGGCGGAGCTGGGGCTGGGGGCCAAAAGAAAACACGGACTGCCAGGCCGCACTATTTACGATTCGCTCATAAAAATTGCGGAGCTGCAGTAGTCGCAGCCACTTCAATGAGAGCTACCCAAAAACAAACCACCCACACACACACGCACACGCACACTCACCCCTCTCGTGGTGCAGCAACCCCCGCAACAACAACAACCGCCATTAAATTGTTACACTTGAACGGGTTTTACTTTGGGCCATGGCGATTGCCAGTGCCTGGTACTGGCCTCTATTTATTGTATGGGTAGCAGCTTTACTGCCCCGCCCCCTCACCTCCCCAACCGACGGCAATCGCGGCCATTTATGTTTGGGGATGGCCCCTTAATTCATTTCCATATACGCATTCCATATTTCTCGTTGCGTATTCTTTTCCTTTTATTTTATTTTAAATATTGGTCTGTTTGCCTTGCGTTGGGTTTGTCTGTGTGTGTGTGTGTGTGTGTCTGTGCATGCTAAAGGCTGCTGTTTATTTTACCAGAAATAAAAAAATTCAAATATTTTCTCCTGCGACCGACTTCTATAAAAGGGGAATAGATTGCAAATATACTGAAATCTGAGCTAAAAAAATATTTATTCCAATACATAAATTTCAAGCTGAAGTGCTGTAAACCTGAGTTAAATATAAAATAAATCTTTTGCAATTGACTTTTGCATTTAAAATCTAGCTATGCGCATTTTAAAATAGAGAAAAGTTTTCTTTGACTCTGCCCATTCGAGTTTTTGTATGAACTACTAAAATTCGTTTTTTTTTTTAATCATCTGAAGTTTACATGTTCCTAATTGCAACCCAAAAACATATAATTATTAATAATTTTATATAATTT